ACATTAATTTGGAATACAACTTACCACTAAAAGCCAAAAGTGATATTGATTTTGCAGGTAACTTTTTTAATAACTCACCCTATATCGCCGCTCAAAACTCCACTCCATCGATCGAAAACAACGTTTTATTTAATTATCCAACTTCAGTAAAACGGCATATTGCAATAAAAAGAAGACTAAAGAAAATCTGGCTAATAAATAAGTTGTTTTACCGATTCTTTCAAAAATACTCGAAAGATTGCTGTTTAAAAGAATTCTTGTCACATTGGACAATAATAATACAATTCCTTGTCATCAGTTCGGTTTTTGAAAAATGCATACAACGATTGAGCAAACCCACAGATTGGTGCATAAGATTAACGAAACTCTACAACAAAAGAATTATTGCTCAGCTTTATTATTAGACACTACACAAGCATTTGACAAAATTTGGCACGGGACTATTTCTATTTCTATTTCTAAAATCATACTTATTAAACCGAAGCTTCTTCATAAACATTCTCAACATGAACTCGCCTATTAAAATATTAAAATCAGATGTTCCTCAAAGTTCTCGGCCCGATTTTTTTTTAATTTTTACAGCTCACATTTCTATCTCACCTGACACAGACATAGTATCATTTGCTGACGATATCTGCATTCTTTCAAAACATGAAAATTCCACAACTTCTTCAGAGCAACTTCATTGTCACTTAACATCTTTGGAAAAATGGTACAAACTGTGGCTGCTAGAGGTCAATGGCCAGAAATCATCTCACATCACTTTTACACTCAAACACGAGACATATCCACTTGTAACTGTGCATGTAATAGAAGTCCTTCAGGTCGAGCACGTAAAGCATCTGTGCATGCACCTGGACCGCAAACTGAATTAGAAAATTCACATAAGAAATAAAGGCAACTGCTTGAGAAAAAATTCTATTGGTTAATGGGTTGTAAATCCCATCTTTCTTCCCGCAACAAACTGCTGGTATACAAGGTTGTACTTAAACCGATTTGGACATATGGCATAGCACTTTGCGGCACCACATCTAAAAGTAATGCTAACATAATTCAAAGGTTTCAGAACAAAATTTTTAAGATTGCTGTAGGCGCCCCAAGATATACTCTTAGCTGGCTGGTTTATGATGACACAAATATGCGCACTATACCCGAGGAACATAAAACATTCGCTCTTAAACACAAAGACAGCCTCGAAGAACACCCAAACGAGTTTGCCAACGCATTGCTATCCACGACATGAAGACTCAAAAGATAAATATTTAGCGACTTATGTAGCTTGTAGTTACTTGTGTCATATTACATTACTTCCTATAAAGGAAAAATGCAGCTGTTTATTTTTCACTATTTATATATCAATGCCATTTTTATATATAATTGCCAAAAGATTTACTCAATGCCTCTGTAGAACATTTGATTTTTTTTGTTAGAAATGTACGCAATTTTCTGTAAAAGCATTTTCATTCACATCACATCGTACTTAAGTAAAATGTTTTTTGAATTAATTAATTTAATCGGCAAAATTGCCTTTTGCAAAAATGCGTCCCGATCGAGCACGAATCGGATGATTTTTTAATGACACAAATCGGTAATTCCATACGATCAAATGTGTCGAGGACATTTGCTTGAACCATCAAAATTAATGCACACTCAAAAAAATTGGCACTTAATGTGTACATATTATTAAAATCTCGATAAAATGTCTGACAATTTGATGGGCATACGTCCAATTTTTGACCGCTAAATGGCATTTTTTTAACTCATTTATATTGAGAGTCCTCAATCGCCGGATCTGCCTTAAGATACGATGCCATATACCACTAGCTATTAACTTCTAGTTACGTAGCGTAACTTATTGTAATCGTTCAAAAATCAAAATTGAAAATTTCTACATTTATTCACGTTTTGAAGTTTTCTGAAAATTTTGGAATATCACAGAAAAAAATGATGTGTGTGTCGGGGTGTTTTTTGTATAGCAAAGGAAATGCTTTTATGCATCCCAGGCTGATGTTTTGTCTGGGACTCAATACCGCCTTGGTATAATACCGACTAAAACCTCCGCTTTGCCCTTGCCTCTGGTCCCCACGAAAACCGCCATTAGGCATTACTTCGTGGGGGGACGATTTAGAATGATATAATTCTTAACTTGATTTTATACTCATCTTTTAAATGGGCGAAATCCCATTTGCCCTTTCTCTTTGCATAGAACGCAGGTCATCTGTGGCGAATCTCTCTATTCCGTTCCAAGCAGCTTCAGTTGTCAGCATCACTTCAACAACAGTATCTGGAGTAATTCTTTGGCACACAAAGAACACATGCTCAGCATTTTCGTTTTCGCCCAAACAATATGTGTGTGTTGGTGTGTGTGTATGTATGTATGGATACAAATTTCTTCCACGTTTTCGGGCGAACAAATTAACCGACAAATTAACATTCAATTCCTATTCATAGGTAGGTCCAGCTGTTTCAGAGATTCGGAGTAAAGAGTGCAGAAAATAGAATTAACCGATAGATAACCGAACAAATTAAGCGATTTCAATGATTAAAAAAATGTTCAATTTGTAATGACGGCGAAAAGTGGTGATTAGTTTTTGGCAGTGGCAGATCCAGCCGCTCTGGTGATACCGAGGTAAATGTGAAAAATGGCATTTTGTGCTTCTGCTTTCAAAGAACTTCCCGTAATAAGCTTTTTTGAATATTCAAATCTGATGCTTAATCTCTTAAAAACTGCCATTTTTTGCACATTTAGCCCTGTATCTTGGGAATGACCTGGACCTATCTTTCCCAAAAACTAATCACTACTTTTCCACATTATTACGAAAATGTTTTTTGAAACGATGCTCCGTTCTCTCAAAAAATCGATTTCAATTTTCAGCACTCTTTGCTCCGTAACTTCAAAATGGCTGGACTGACTTTTACCAAAAACTAATCAGCACATCTCCCTATCAATGGAATGTTTATTGAACCATTCAAATCGGTTAAACCTTGCACCCAAAAACATGAACAAAAAATTGTGTCCATGCATACATACACACACAGAAACCTTCAAAACGTGAAGATACGCAAAAATTTTAAATTTTGTTTTTCGAACGATTACAATAACTTACCCTACAGGAAGTTAATTAATAACTTATGTTTTGTTTATTATAATGTACTCTTAAAAACATAAACAATCACATTGCTGCTCACAGATTTTCTCCAATGCGTTTACCTTGCCAGATTTGAATATTGTTTCATTGCTAATTTGGGAAGACATTGGAAAAGATGTTTCTCGCTCAGCTTCTTCCATATCTTCTGTATCTGATGTGTGAGTCGTTTTGTACTTTTTTTAAAGAAAGCATGTTTGGATATGTGTTTATACATTATAATAAAATAATACAACAGAACATATAGAATACAAACAATTTTAACAAACTAGCAAACCCGACGAACTCCGTTTCGCCACCAGATGGTTTCGTGAGAAAGATGAAGAAATTTTTTGTTTGTTTTATATTTGAAAAGAAAAAAAATGATTTTATTACACAACAGTAATGAATTTATTTCGACTACAAAACTGAAGTGTTTTTAGTTGAACTTCTCTAAGTAAATGAAAGTGAATCGGCAAATTATCCGTTTCATTGAAGTGCTCTTTGGTAAACCACATTTTTTGTTTTTTGGTCTGACGTTAACACAAACAAAGCGGACGATTTTCCAACTCGTGAACAAGCAACGTATAACTGCCCATGTGAAAGACAATGATTATCTAAATAATCTATTTGAAATTTATCTCGCATACACTAAGCGATTGGCCTTGCGATTTGTTAATTGTCATTGCGAACGCAAGGCGAACTGGAAATTGCAATCGTTTGAAGTCAAACGGAAGACCAGTCGGAATCATTGGTATGTCACCAAATCGCCAGCAATTTTTTATTGAATGGTGAAATTCAATGCCTGTACATCATTATTCTTTGCGGCAAAAATTGCTCGTTGACTGAACCAAGCATAATTCTGATAATTATCACTATTGTCATTACTCGAATTTTTAAATACGATGCGTGAAGTTCCAGCAATTTGCATTAAGGCAGGATGCCATGCACCACTAATTTTCTTAGCTATAAACCTTGCGGAGCCCGAGACCTTTTCAACGAATTCAAAATTCGTTGCGAAATCGGTTCGTGCGTTCTGCAGTTATATCGTCAGGAAGGAAAGCCCAACTTATTTTTATATATATGTAGATAATATCGCGTCGATTGTATATCATGTTTAAAAATTATTGATAACGAATTAGATATGACGCGATGCATGTGAACGCATAATAATTTTTATAAATAGATGCTTTCATTAGGCTGTTAATAAAATATATAAACAATTGCTTTATCTTGCCGACACCGCCGCTTGTCCATGCGTTATACTCGGCTCGGTATGTGTAAAACATATTGAGTAAGTTCAATTTATAAAAAATATTGGAGTTACAAAATACCGGTATTTTTCTAATAATACCGGTATTTTTCTAATAAAACTGGTATTGTAAGCACTAATGTCTGTTTACTGCGATGATCTCTAGGATAATAACTATAACAACGTGATGCGGGGGAATGTTTTTGTATACCCAATCGAGACAAAGATGTATTTTATTCACGTTAAAGATTTCCCTGTTACAGATAGCCTCTAGCTTACCTATAAGTGCCCAACAAACAAATTAAACTTGCGTATGTTTTAAGTACATTCAAAATTGATCACCCAAGTTTAGTAAAATAAAAGAAACTTGCGAATGAACCTTTTCTCTCAAATGCGCTTGAATGATTTAATTTTACAGAAGACGTAATATCGCTTCTAAATGCTATAAAAATCGAGTACGTAGTTTATATATTACATCCGAAATTTATAAGGATCTAAATTAATTTTAATTTATTAGAAACTCAAGTAATTGATGAGTCTTATTAATCATTTATTTATTCATAAGCATTTTTTATTTTACATAATGCTCTTATTTATTTGAATCTTGTTTAATTGTCTTTCAGCTTTGGATCCGGCCTAGCTTCTAAACGAACCGGAATTATCTTAAACAATTGTATGGACGACTTTTCCACTCCAGGCTTAGTAAATTATTTCGGAGTACCACCGTCGCCAGCCAATTTCATTGCACCCGGAAAGCGCCCCCTGTCGAGTATGAGCCCTAGTATAATAGTCGACAGTGAAGGAGAAGTGAGAATGGTCGTCGGTGCTTCTGGCGGGACCAAAATAACTACAGCAGTTGCGCTGGTAATTTGTTATTATAAATTTATATTGTTTAGATATTTTAAAATTAATGTGAAACAATTAATGACATGCTGAGCTCTGGTTGGGTGATATTGTTTTTCTGGTTACTTTAGTAGCTTGTATATATTTCTAGTTAATAATAAACAGAAGGCGATTTAGCAAAGAATTTTGCTGCATCAATAGTGGATAAGATATTACAATGGAAAGGTAGTAACATAATTAAATTGTAAATTCCGATATCTTTGAGTGAAACAGCTTCATTTTTTCATCATCTTTATCTGATTTGCAATTTAATATAGATGTTTTCGTTAAACTTTTTAGTCTGTAGCAAACTATTCCATTTATGACTGCATTTTCTACTTTTAGAGCTAGAATCTTATTTTGTTTTTTTTTTTTTGAATTGAAGTATTTTATTAATCCTTTATTTCACTTAACAACTCTCGTAAAATTGGCTAATTTTTATTAAACGCAGAAAAATGATTCACAATGTTTATATTTTTAGGACTTGACAAATGTTCTACAATTCTCAAGGAATTTTTTTCATACGATAAGTTAAAATGTAAGCATTATAGACACAGCCAAGCATCGTTCATGTTTCATTAAATTACTCTACAAATTGAAAAAGATAAAAACATCAGCGCTGGCAGTTTGTATTAAATTAAACTATTGGGTAATGCAATATTAAATATAATTCATTAATTGTTATTTTCCAATAATTTTAATAAACTGTTAAAGGTTGCTATGAATTTATCGAAGATAATATATGGAGGTCCAGGGTCAAAAAGTTCTACCATCGATATCTCAAAGACCAGTAAAATTAAGCATTGTTCAACAATAATATTTAAAAGTAGAGAGTATGAAATGTACCTTTATCCTTACGACTTCGCTATCGGGAGACAAACGGCAATGCTCGAAAATCGATAACAATAGTATTTTCTTTCGTTATTTGTTTTGGCTGTGAGCACTGTCGCTTAATTCACAAGACCTTAATATAATTTTTACGTATACGTTATGTAATCATTCGAGTTCAGACGTTCGTACTATCAACACCTTACTCAAAGCAAAAAAAATATAATATTATATAACCAGTTAGTTATTCAATCAGTGTCTAGTTACTAGTGAGCAAGTGTACAATATAGTAATAACAAGTGGTTTAAAATCATTAATTCACTAAAAACAATGCGCCCTTTATGGGAGCATTATGAATAAACCATCAAATTCATTTATAGTTGAATCTGACAATATTTTAAATGACGACTCCACTACTAGTGCACAATACATATCAGGACAACTAAATACTAGAAAGTTTAGTTCTGAAATGTCTAAGAAAAAATTACAACTATTACGACAAGAAAAACATCCAAAATCCGCGAGTCATCAATCCAACCTTCCCACTTTTGCTATGGAAACTGACACCCCTGAAAAAAACCAAAATCCTATAATTACTCATTCCAACCCTTCGACTTCCTCAACAGATAACGACATTCCTGAAAACATGAATCTGTAGCGAGTCGTGACTGAATCCAAAAGAATGCTCACTAATAATTCTCCAAAACATTCCCCAATCCATTTTTTTTTTTTGTAATAGTTATATTTAGCAATCAGAAAATTACAAATTTTTCTATAAGCTAAATTGCAAATTATGTGGGTGTTAAAATAAGATAGGATCCACTGATCTATCCTATATTATGTTACTTAATATATTTATATATATAACTAATGATTGTACTTAAATACTATGTAGAGGCCACTTTCTCTTCAATCTTGAGTTTTGTTGAGGGCGCAGTAAATCCTTTATCGATTCATTTGGGTGCATCTCCAATCTGTTACGGTATTTAGATGATAGTTCTTTATATGTCTCGTGCACAGTCAGCATTTTTAGGTCGCCATGACAGTTTTGTTAGTGACATACCAGGGTGAGTTGAGGATGGCTCTTAAGATTTTAGTTTGTGTTCTCTGCATAATTTCCAGATTAGATTTAGAGGTGCATCCCCATAGCTCTAGACCGTAGGTCCATATTGGCTTAATGATGGCCTTGTATAGCAGTAGTTTGTTTTCGACGGATAGTTTGGACTGTTCATCTCCTTCATTTTTAGTAGAATTTGTTCCTTTTTCTTTTTTATATGTTCTTTTCACGTGAGTCTTGTATCTAGATGAAGTCCCAGATATTTTACTACTTGTACTTGTGGGATCATGATGTTGTTTAAGTATACAGGAGGACAAGTTTTTTGACACAACGTGAATGTTATGTGCGCAGATTTTGATTAGTTAATCCGTATGTGCCATTTGTTTAGCCATTTCTCTAATGTGCAGATATAATTTTGAGTCAGTTGAGATGCTAATAGAGGATTTTGATTTCTGAATAAGATAGCAGTGTCGTCTGCAAATGTAGCTATAATAGAGTTAGGAGGTATTGGTGTATCTAATGTAAATAATACATATAATAATGGTCCCAGGATGCTGCCCTGTGGGACACCTGACCCTATTTTACAGAAATCTGACAGTTCAGCGTTCACTCTAATCTGGAAAAATCTGTTTTCTAAATATGATTTTAATAACTTGAAGTATTTAACTGGAAAGTGTTTTTTAATTTTATATAACAGCCCATGATGCCAGACCTTATCAAAGGCCTGACAAACGCCCAAGAAAATGCCACTGCAATATTCCTTATGTTCAAATGTTTTATTAATATTTTCAACAATCCTATGGATTTGTTGAGTCGTTGAGTGCTTATGTCTGAACCCGAACTGATGTGACGGCATCCAAATCATGATTAATTTTTTTATATATTATTTTTTCCAGTATTTTGGAAATTATAGGAAGCAAGCTGATAGGTCTGTATGACGAAACATCCGTTGGATTTTTACCTGGTTTGAGTATCATTATAATTTGTGCCCTCTTAAAGTGGTTTGGCCAGTAACCAATCCTGAGTATAGCGTTGAATATATATGTAATTGCAATAATTGTTTTCCTTGGAATTTCTTTAATGACTTTACCACTTATTAAATCATAGCCCGGAGACTTTTTTGCTTTTAGATTATTTATTTCATAGCTGACTTCCTTTGGTTTAACAGGGGTTATAGCTTCCACCATTTCTATTGATTTATGTAGTTCTTCTGCTATTTCAGTATTCATAGAATTGTCAAAAGGCTGAAATACTGAAGTTAAATGTTTGGCAAAAAGCAGTGCCTTTTCGAGATCACTTCTTGCCCAAGGTTCATTTATATCTTCTCTAACTGGTGGTGCTGGAATTTTTGGTTTTTTAATATTCCGAATTGGCTGCCAGGTAGTATTGTCCGTTCTAGACAGGCTTAGAATACATATAGTGTTCAAAATTTTTGGAAGTGGCTAGTTTTAATTTTGCTTTGAGCAATCGGCATAATTTATTAAATTGAGTTTTGTCTTCTGGCCTGTGATAACGTTGCCATTTTGCTCTTGCCCTCCTTTTCTCCTGTATTAGATTTTTTATTTCCAGCGGGATATCTTGTACTTCACGAAAATGTAATTCTGGAGTTGCTTGTACCACTGACTCCTGAATGTTAAGAATTAAGTCGTTTATTGATTTATCAATATCTTCTTCATTTTTTAATCGCATTTTAAGATTTGTTCGTTCATTTAGTGTGTTGCGAAATGTTTCCCAATTTGTGAATTTATTATAAAGCATTCTGTTGTTTTTTATAGGAATTGGTGCAACTCCTATTGTTAGAATGATTGGAGAATGGTCGGATGATAAATCAAAAGATGGTCTTATTTCCATGTATTTTTCGTCAATATCCTTTGTAATGAAAAAATCGAGCAGATCCGGTATTTTATTAGTATCGCTCGGCCAGTATGTTGGGCTTCCAGTTGATATGTAAGAGAGATTGTTTTTATCTATTGCATTTAATAATTCCTTGCCTCTAGATGTAATTAATCGAGAACCCCATCTTGTATGTTTGCAATTGTAATCTCCTCCTACAATAAATTTTGGGCCTAGTTGTGAAAGAAAATTTTCGAAATCAATCTGTTTAATTTTATGTCGTGGCGGACAGTAACCCGCTGACAATGTTATGTTATACGACTGTAACTTGACTTTTATTGAGGTTGCCTGCAGGAGATCATATTGATAATCTGGTAAAGGATAGTGGTCAATTGTATTTTTAATTAATATAGCTGTTCCACCATGAGCTGTACCGTCAGGATGATTGCAGTGTTGCATCGTATATCCAGGTATTTTAAAATATGAAAAATTTGTGAAATGCGTTTCACTAATTAATAAAATGTCTATTTGGTTAATTTTTAAAAATGTAATTACTTCCAATCTATGTTGAATGATTCCGTTAGCGTTCCACAGTGCAATTCTTAAAAATTTAGCCATTAGTGTTGTCTTTTATTTACTAAGGTTGTAAGCATACTGAGCACCATAGTGTTCTGTTGAATCAGTTGATTAAACATATTTTTAAATTCTAGAAGAAAAGCTGTGAAGTTCGGCCCTGAACTTGTTATATTTTCAGTACTGTTGTTATTGTTTAGTACCTGGGAGTAGGTTCGGTTATGATCTTGATGTGAATTCGTTATTGTGTTGTCGGAGCGAGAAGTGGCGTTTCCATTATTTGATGTGATACGATTATGTAATGTTGTTGGATTATTTTTGAATTTTTGATTGTATAGTTTTTGATAAATTGGGCACCCACGGTAATGAGCACTGTGCTCCATAGAGCAGTGATAGCAGCGGTTCGGTGCTTCGTTCGATTTTTTACAGTCGGCAGTATTATGGTTATCAGAACATCTGGCACAAACGTGGGGTTTGTTGCAATATTTTTTCGTGTGACCAAATAATAAGCAACGTTTACATTGTATTACTGTTTTATTATTATTAGGGGGTTCTACACGAATAATGTGATTTAAAATTTTTGTTACCAAGTAGACATCTTTATTATTTTTATTCGGTTCTAAACCTACGTAAAAAAGATTGAGCGGTGATTTGGTTACTCTGCTAATAATATTTGTAATATTTCTGACTT